CTTAGAAAGTATTTTCAAAATGATACTAAACACATTAGAGACTGATGGTTTTTCAACAGACTGCAAATCATGTTTCATATAGGTCTAATCCTAACAAGTAACATTTAATATTTGCAATGTGTTTATACATACATCATCAACAAACCATTTTTGGTATTTATCCAAACTGTAATTTAAAACTTTTAAGTGTTGAAATTCAAAGGAATTTGTTCAAGTAACTGTAGGTTTAAAAGCTGTAACACAGAAAACAGTTAAATTTCAAGGGAATACAAACTGTTCCATTGAGGTATGTGCGGACTCAGACCTTAACACCAAAGTAAATCATACGGTTAAAACAATTTTACTTACGAATATGCTCAATCCAACTGTCAGAATGTTGAGACAAAGAGTAAGATAATTAAGGAAGATCCACTATCATAGTAATAAGATATTCATTACTCAGAATGAACTAAAAACAAAAACAAACAAACAAACAACCCTTCTGAAGTTTAAGCAATGACCCGTAAGAGACTGGAACTGGACTCAAGTTACTGGCTTAATTTTGCTTTTAAAAACTTAAGATTTATTAGGTAAACAGTATTGTGGAAATAAAGAAATATTTTGAAAACTGCCCAGGGACAAACTTATCTTTTCAAACTATGCAGTCATGAAATATTTTTGACAGATGAGAAACAGTGCTACAATAATCCACAGGCTAATGATTTATTTTAGAGAGAGGGTCTCACTCTGTCACCCAGGATGGAACGCAGTGGCAAGATCATACCTCACTGCAGTGTCAAGCTCCTGGGCTAAAGTGATCCTCCCATCTCAGCCTCTAAAAGAGCTGGGATTACAGGCGCATACCACTGTGCCCAGTTTGGACTTCCAATTTCTAGTGCAAGAAAGAAATTTCTCTTTCATCAACATTTCTATAGTACTTAATTTATACATGTTTTAAGTCACTCATCACCTTCTATCTTATTTTCTTATTACTTGCATACCTATCTCACCAACCTTAACAGATTGAAATTCTTCTGCACATAGCAGATTACAAATACATGACAATATTCCCCATATACACCATCAAGAATAATTGTTAGAAATTATTGTTAGAAATGTTTTACTGTAAAAACACTAAGAATCATCAAAGAATGTCAGTAAGAAAAATTAATAACCTGGCCGGGTGCAGTGGCTCACACCTGCAGTCCCAGTACTTTGGGAGGCTGAAGGGGGTGGATTACAAGGTCAGGAGTTCGAGACCAGCCTGGCCAACATGGTGAAAACCCATCTATTTTTTATCTTTGTAAAGATATGAAAAATTAGCTACGCATGGTGGCACGTGCCTATAATCCCAGCTACTCGGGAAGCTGAGGCAGGAGAATCCCTTGAACCCAGGAGGCAGAGGTTGCAGTGAGCCAAGATCAGGCCATTGCACTCAAGCCAAAGCAACAGGGCAAGACTCCATCTAAAAAAAAAACCAGAAAAAAGAAAGATAAAAATGAATAACCCATAATCCTACCACACTAATACAGTAATTCATTCCCCTTCTGAAATCTTATTTTCCACATTTTTTTAATAGCAGCAATCAAAATGAGGTCATTAACTCAAACTTGAGTTCAGCACGGTAGAATTGGTCTCATGAAAAAATTTCAGTAAAGCTCAAAAAATTGCTAGCTGTTCCAAAATTAGTCAGTTATAATTATGTGGATAAGGCCTAAAAAATAATATGTAAAATGCAAAACATGAAAATGATTTTTTGGGTAATGGAATTGTAGATATACTGCAAATTTTTCATTTGTTGAAATAGTGAAGTTAAAATACTACAAGCTGAAAAAAAAAGTATTGTCTAATTAGACTCCCAGGTATTTTTAAAAACATGAAATATTTGTAGCCCTTTAATGCTCACTACGTGTCCGGCAGTATTCTAGGTCATGCAGATAATGCTGTGAAGAATATCAACTTCCTGCCTTTATGAATTTTGCAACACAATGTGGAAAATATAAAAGCAAAGAAGAGCATTTCTTTCAACGATAATGCACTTTTTAGAAAACTGAACAGGTCAATGTGATACAAGTTTAAGACTGGGTTTGAGGGAACTACCTAAGATTGAAGGCTCTGAAAAAGTCCCTCTAAGGAGGTGACATTTGGGCCAAGACATAAACATAAACAATGAGATATACAAAGGCTTGGAGAACGAACCAGGCTAAGCACAAAGACCCTGTGGCAGGTGAGCCTAATGCATTCATGAACAGAGTGTAGTTAACTAGGTATGAGAGAAGGGCAAGGCATAGATCACCTGGAGCCTTGAAGGTTAAGTGGTTTTAACAGGGAAATGACATGATCTACGTTTTTCCCTCTGAACTTTTTTGGAATAATGAATTATGAGTGGGAACAAGGAAACTCTTAACAATACTCCCAAGTGAGAGTTGATAGAAATTTGGTTTCAGAGTGGTATCAATGAGGATGAAGATAAGTGGATTGATTCAAGACATAGTTTGGTGGCCGGCTGCTGTGGCTCACGCCTGTAATCCCAGCACATACTTTGGGAGGCCAAGACAGGCAGACTACGGAGTCAAGAGATCAAGACCAGCCTGACCAACATGGTGAAACCCATCCCTACTAAAAATACAAAAATTAGCCAAGCATGGTGGCTCAAACCCATAGTCCCAGCTACTTGGGAGGCTGAGGCAGGAGAATCCCTTGAACCTGGGAGGTGGAGGTTGCAGTGAGCCGAGATCGTGCCACTGCACTCCAGGCTGGCTACAGAGCGAGACTCCATCTCCAAAAAAATTTTTGAAAAGATGACTGAGAAGCATCCCAGTAACCCGACCATGGCCAGTCTTCCCTGGACACCATGAACCACACTGTCCAAAACTTCACTCCCACCACCACCAACAGTCCCCGAACTATGAGATGCTGAAGGAGGAGCATGAGGTGGATGCGCTGGGGGCACCCCACAACCCTGCACTCCCAACATCCACCGTGATCCACATCTGAAGCGAGACCTCCATGCCCAACCATGTCATCTGATCCCTGTTAAACAGGGACCATCTTCATGAACTCCTGCTGCCTGGGCTTCATAGCGTTTGCCTACTCCATGAAGTCTAGGGACAGAAAAACGGTTGGCGACCTGACCCAGGCCCAGGCCCAGGCCCATGCCTCCATTGCCAAGTGCCTGAACATCTGGGTCCTGATTATGGGTATCATCATGACCATTCTGCTGATCATCATCCCAATACTGATTCTGCAAGCCTATTAGTAGATCCAGAGGAATCATCCTGGCTAGGGGCTCTGCCCATGACCTGTCTCCCACATACTCCAGCTTCCATTCCTTGCCCTGCCCCCAGCTGAGTCCTGTATCAGCCCTTTACCCTCACACACTTTTCTACAATCGCATTCAATAAAGTGCATGTGTTCCTGAAAAAAAAAAAAATTTGAAAAGACAGTTTGGAATCAGAAACAATAGAACTGATTGGGTGTATGTGTATGAGAGAGGATCCAAGGTTTTAGTTTGTGAAACCATTTACTCGGATGAGGAAAACGAGAGGAAGAACAAGTTTGGGCTATTTTGAGTATGACGTTTGAAGTGCAAAGCTAGGTGGTAATGTTGACTTTCAACTTAATGAAGTCTCTCTATAAGCTTACAGGGAAAATAGAGGAATCATGTTCTGTGTGTCTGTTCTCCCAAAGCCTAACACCATAACTCATGCACATTATGCATGCAGTTTAAGTCTTTTTTAATGTTTTGAGGATGGCTATTTGTTTTCAAGTTAAAACTCCTTGAAGATGGCAATTCTGTATCTACACAAAAACTAAAATGACTTATGTCAATTAGACTTTAGCTGCACAGAATTTGTGCAGTGTTGAGACGCTCTCAAGTGAAGTTACTTTTTTTCTTTTGAGTTTAATTGTATAAAGGTGGACTCAAAAGTTGTGAAAAAAATACACATACATATGTTTTACCATGAAAGGCTAGGATTCCACGCACATCTGCAACCACAAAGGCATGATGAGACCAATCAAGAATGAGCAGCACCTGGACATCGAATGAGCAGCACCTGGAGGCACTCAGTGCCTCAAATCCAACAGCTGAAAGCCAACAAACGGAAGCAACTCTTTCAGAAAAAGACTCCAGCCTGGGCGAGAGGAGTGAGGCCTTGTCTCAAAACAAACCCCCCCCCCCCCCCAAAAAAAAAGAAGAAGAAGAAAAGAGGTCTGAGAGGGGAGGGAGGAAAATCATTTTTATTTATTGAACATCTTTTAAAGATTTCACACCATAGAACTATGTCCTTTAATGCTTACAAAATGCTAAGAAAGGCATTATTCATATTCACCACCCGTTTTAACGGAAGACAAAAGCTCAGAGTATCTCGCTTTACCTCAACTTATTAAGAGCCAGAGCTATCCTCATACCCCAGGTCTTAGTCCTTGCCTCCCCCATTACCGCTAGCAAAAGTGTTTACACGTAACTGCAAGCAGCGAGTACAGAAAAACTCAAAGAAGGAATGGAAGAAAACGCCACATCCATTGCTAAAGCCTTAGGTCAGAAAACGTCCGCCCGCGAGCCTTTCCAGAGCCAAAGACTTAGATCTACCATGGTTATCGCCTGCCCTCCAGTCCCTCGCTTTTCAGCCCACTCACCGACAAAGAAAAGAGAAGGTTCAGGCCGCAGTTACATAACCCAGCCTAGCGGTGGGTCTGAGGGAACAGAAGAGAAAGGTTTGCAACCCGCTCACACCCCTCTCTAGGTGGAACTGACAACCAAGGAAGGATATGAGGAGTCGAGGCAGGACGGACGGCAGTTCCCGGCGGCATAGCTCCTCTGGCCAGCTACTTAATTCTTCCAGGGGAACCGCGCTAACCGGGACCGCGCGTTCCTGAGACATACCTTCGCCAAACAGCACAGCTTCAAACCAGTCCCGCCACAGCCCAGACCGGAAACTCACAGTCCCGCCAGCCCTTGCGCGCTCTCCGCCGGCCCCCAAAACCATAGAGTGGAGACCGGTTGGTTTCGTCGTTAACCTGGGTCCCTCAAAGCCGGAAAGAAAGTCGGGCTTGTCTAGCCCCTGGAGGACTTGACTCACTGGTGCGTGATTTCAGTTCGGAGGAGGTATCTAGAGGCGAGGTTTTTCAGCCGGGCGATCCCAGGACACGTCGGGAAGCTAGCATCCCCAGGTCTGGATCACTGTAAACATTACATTCAGATGGGGAGGTGAGGGCCAGAAGTCCCCAGATTTCCTACCCATTGGCTTTTGAGATAGCACTTCTAGGGTCGGATTTGTTCTGGGACCTGCAGCCGGAAGTGACTCCAAGCCTTGCAGCGTGGTGGGAGAGAAAAACTGCGCGTTCCTAGCCGCCGGACTGGGTGACTCGCCTCTCCCTTCATTTGTAAATACTGTGTAAAGGGATTACAGATCCCACCTGCCAGATCTGCGAAAATTGAAGCAGACGGTATAGGGTCTAGCGCAGTAGATGGAAGATTCTCAAAGTTGCTTCCGATTTCTACAGGTCTCTCCAAACTACTGCAGTGCCTTACATTGTGTTTGCTCTAACACCAAATTAGTCTTTACTAATTATTTCCAAATTACCCCCACTTCCGTACACGTAGGGCTGCCGTTCTCGACTAAACGTTTTGAGTGAAATCTTGGATGAATTTACACACACCAGACCATACCTATGCATGTTTTTAAAGGGGTGCTCACTTACCAAAATAAAATATTGCGCGTCTTTTATAAAAAAACAGAAGTTAAGATATTTTGGAAGCTTAGGGGGTGAATATGTTTGAGCCCAGTCAAGACAGTTGAAAAACAGCAAGTAGCTAGACTGTCCATATGAGTATCTTGGACTTTTATGTTTGTCCTGGTGGTGGCGGTTGCTGCTGCTGCTGCTGTTCTTCTGTTTGTTTTTATAGCTGATTTTCTTCTCCCACTTTTGAACCCTTAAGGTGTGTATGAGTGTCCAAATCTCCTATCTCTGTCTCTCCCCAAAGTTTTTTAGAAAAGGCAGCTGTATGGTGGGATGGGGAGAGGGCGGGTGGCTGTTTAATTAATTACTAGTGAAATGTGATGTTTTGCTTTAATCATCATTTTCTTTCTTTTTTCTTTCTCTCCAGAGCTGCATGGAAAGAGGACCAAAGACCTCTAAAAAGCGATTTGGAAATATCGCTAAATATTTGTTATCATATATAAGCTGCTAAAGAGAAGTTGGGCCCAACAAAACTAATTGAATAATTGAGGCAGGTTTGTGTGTGTCATCAACATCAAATTCTATCCAGAAGTTGAAGAATCTGAATTTAATGATTGTGTGCATTTAATAAGAGGATGACCTTTCAGTTTAATTTCACAATAGAAGACCATCTGGAAAATGAATTAACACCCCTTGGAGATGGAGCTTGGACCTTGGATTCCTCAAAAGAGCTGTCAGTCTCAGAAAGTCAAAAAGGAGAAGAGAGGGACAGAAAGTGTTCTGCAGAACAGTTTGGTGTGTCTCAGGATCAGTTGTGGGAACGTAAGTCTATGGAAAATGCAGCTCCCTCTCAAGACACAGACAGTCCACTCAGTGAAGCCAACAGTTCAAGTAACTTGGAGCCGCATGAAAAACAGACCTGCTTCAGAGCTGCCAAAGAGCATGCTATGCCTAAAGATTTAAAGAAGATGTTAGAAAATAAAGTCATAGAAACATTACCAGGTCTCCAGCATGCTAACTTAGCAGTAGTGAAAACCATCTTGTTGAAAGAGAACTTCCCTGGAGAAAACATAGTTTCAAAAAGCTTTTCTTCTCACTCTGATCTGATTACAGGTGTTTATGAAGGAGGCTTAAAAATCTGGGAGTGTACCTTTGACCTCCTGGCTTATTTCACAAATGCCAAAGTGAAATTTGCTGGGAAAAAAGTCTTGGATCTTGGTTGTGGATCAGGCTTACTGGGTATGACTGCATTCAAGAGAGGGGCCAAAGAAGTTCACTTTCAAGATTATAACAGTATGGTGATTGATGAAGTAACCTTACCTAATGTAGTAGCTAACTCCATTTTGGAAGATGAAGAAAATGATGTAAATGAACCAGATGTGAAAAGATGCAGGACATCAAAAGTAATACAAGAACCATATCAATGCCGGTTTTTTTCTGGTGAGTGGTCTGACTTTTGTAAACTTGTACTAAGCAGTGAAAACCTTTTTGTAAAATATGATCTCATTCTCACCTCAGAAACCATATACAACCCAGATTATTACAGTAATTTGCACCAGACTTTCCTTGGACTGTTAAGTAAAAATGGACGTGTACTTTTGGCCAGCAAAGCACATTATTTTGGTGTAGGTGGAGGTGTTCATCTCTTTCAAAAGTTTGTAGAAGAAAGAGATGTTTTTGAGACTAGAATACTCAAAATAATTGATGAAGGATTGAAGAGGTTCATAATTGAAATGACTTTTAAGTCCCCCAGTTAATGTCCACTGAGTATCCAAAATGAAATAAACAGAAGGACCAAAAATTTTTTGGTGTGTTTGATTTCTGTTTTGCTATTTTTTTTTTCTGAAATATTGATGTTGTTTATTTCAAATCAAAAGTGAACTATGTTAGCAATCTTGTACATACTAGTTGAAACTGAGAAAGTATGCTTGTGCATTTGATGAGATCTGGGAAATCATTTTGTAGGAAAATTCAGTATTTTTACCACCTTTGACATTACATGAAATTGTTCCCAGGAAATCCTGCTATTTCTTATCTCAAGTTTGTGAATTTCTTCCCAATATTCCTTAGTTCCTTGTTTACATGAAATGTCTGGTCAGATCCTATGCTGTTAATACATATCACTAAATATTAGGTTGAAGGCCTTAGGTAAATAGGAAGAAGTTTTTGTTTCATTTTGTTTTTATATTTATTTACCTTGTATAGTAAGGACCAGAATGGTGAGAATTTAACTAAATTCACATGGAGATGAGGAAACAAAAGGAATCTGTGATAGAGTATAAAACCGACACAGAGAACTTGTACTACTTGAGGTTTACCCCTTATAACAGAGTAAGGGGCCTTATGGTCTTGGTGGGAGGAAATAGACTAAGAAAGGAGAATTCCAGATTTGGGGGAGTGTAGACTTCTCACCAGTTGTTAAATAATAGGAAAGAAAGGAGAAAGTGTTTTATTGATTCAAATGCAAAACTTTTCACATTTTATCACATTGGGAATTGGGATCTGCCTTGCTCTTTTTAACAGCAGTATAATTGATAGCATTTTTTTTCTCTCTTAGAAGTAGCTAAAATAATTGAACATCATGTATTCAATTAAATGTGACATTTACTCGACATCTACAGTTAACTAGATTCCATTCACTTTGTATAGCATCTTGCATAATATAACCGTATGAGGTGTATGTCTCCCCCATTTTAGTAGCAATCATAATAGCTAACAGCATTTAGTATGTACTATATACAGGGCAGAAGAGCTTTACATATGTTAACATTAAATATTTATAACTACCCTATACAACTCCAAAAAGTTGATTGATTTGCTCTCAACCACATTTCTAACCTTGAACTAAAATCTGAAGACTTAAAAAGCTTTACACTCTTTCATCACCCAGTGGTCTCAATTCTATCAATGCCCATTTTCATCACAAATATTTCTTAGCACCCGCTAATTATGCTAGAATGAGTCATAGTTAAACATTATATACAATATTAAACATATATCCCTAGTTTATATATAATTATATATGTGACATTCACAACTATAAGATGGAGAAAGTAATTTATAATCAAATAATTTATATCTCATCAGATACATGCACAGATGTGGCTACACAGAGGACATGCAGTAGCCAGATGCTTGTACCTAGAACAGGGGTCCCTGAAGCCTGGGCCGTGGACCAGTACCAGTCTGTGGCCTGTTAGAAACTGGCTGCACAGCAGGAGGCGAGTGGTAGGCAAGTGAGTTTTACTGCCTGAGCTCTGTCTCCTGTCAGATCAGCACTGGCATTAGATTCTCACAGGAGTGCAAACCCTATTGTGAACTGCACATATGAGGGATCTAGGTTGTGCACTCCTTGTGAGAATCTAATACCTGATGATCTGAGGTGAAATGGTTTCATCCTGAAACCAAGCCCTTCATGAAAAAATTATCTTCCACGAAACTGGTCCCTGGTGCCAAAAGGGTTGGGGACCACTACTGAAAATGGTCCACAGCTACAATTCCAGACCTACATACTAGGTAAGGTAGAACAAATTGGCCTTGACAGCTGGATTGGGGAATTGAGGTACAAATCATTGGATAGAGGCTTATAACACAATAATCAGGTTTTTTTTTTTTTAGATGGAGTTTCGCTCTTATTACCCAGGCTGGAGTGCAATGGCGCGATCTCGGCTCACCGCAACCTCCGCCTCCTGGGTTCAAGCAATTCTCCTACCTCAGCCTCCCGAGTAGCTGGGACTACAGGCTGCGCCACCATGCCCAGCTAAGTTTTTGTATTTTTAGTAGAGACGGGGTTTCATCATGTTGACCAGGATGGTCTCGATCTCTTGACCTCGTGATCCACCCGCCTCGGCCTCCCAAAGTGCTGGGATTACAGGCTTGAGCCACTGTGCCCGGCCAATAATCAGTTTTGAATGATTTTGAGACAAATAGGTATCTCTCAATTCTCCGAGATGAATTAGACTTTTAATGAGGTGTCATGCAGTAGGCCCATTAAGAAGCAGCACAGACACAGCCTCTGACCAGGGGCTCAGGACATAATTTCAGTTCCTAGGGAGAGGGTCCAACAAGTGCAGAAAGGGTCAAAACAGAAGCCCAGTCATGGGAGTTAGACAATTCGGGGCACTAAAGATAAATTTGGGGTTATCAAACAGCCCAAAGGAAACACACCTATCCAAGACAGCTGGCAGCAAAAGGGACTTGAGACACAAATTATGGCTATAAATCCAGAAAAGGATACATAGCTTTCTCATGTAACAGTGTAATTTAATCACATAAGGGGTATGATACCTTGGGTTAAAATTCAGTTTCTCTCTCTGTGAAACAAAGTTTATAATACTATGTCCCTACCAGAGTTCTTTGAAGCTGAAGAGTTAAGCATTTATCATGATTCCTATCATGGTTCCTAGGTATAAGTGGAAATTATTATTTTTAATAGTTCTTACCATGTAGTCACCCTGTTTTCTGAACCAGACAGGAAGTCCTCACTTTTGTTAAAAATGGCGTTGGTGTTGTGCTCACTTCGGCAGCACATACACTAAAAACGGCGTTTGTGCCTTTACAGTATGCAAATCTCAGTTCAGAACTTGAAGAAACCACTAAGTTCTAAACTTTGCTCTGCCCACCATTAATCTCCACTCCTTCCCATTCCATTCACTTCCCCACTGCCTACCTCCACATTCCTAAATTGTCTCTTTTGGAAAAAGACTTATTATCTTTGAGTAGACTGGGGAGGAGGAGGAAGAATAGGGGTGATCTTACTGTCTCAGAGGTGGCAGAAGTAGAAGAAAATCCGCATATTGAGTATAACTGACTATGCGATTCAAATCCATGTCGTTCAAGGGTCAGTTGTATATATTTTAAGCCTTTACAATGTACTCAGTCTCATGAAACCCCAACAACCTTGGTTGTGCTGCTTCTGGACTGTGTGGTTCACAGTGCAAAGAGAATTTAGCCTCATGATATGGGGAATGGTGGGGTAAGTCAAACAAAATCTGTTTTTAGCCACACTTACGCTTTCAACTCTTCTTAGTCATCCTGTGGCTTAGTACTACAAACATCCACAGACTTACAACTGATAAGATATAGGAAAATGGGCAAAAAGAAATCAACATTTAAAAAGAAAACTATGTAACATACATCACATGTACAAAGGGGGCTATAAGATACGGGTTTTTCTTCTCACGATAGATTTCGTGCTCACAACAGCCGTTCCACTGAGAACATCCAGCATAGCAAAATGGAAAAAGGTTTTAGTAATTTCATTGGGCAGTAGATTGTTAAAGGAAAAATGGTTCAATATTACTTGTTAAAGCATGGTAAGGCAGGCTTTATCCAGTACCATTGAGAGGTAAGGGACCATGGCAATGGGATTTTGCAGTAGGGGAGAGAAATTGGGCTTAACTACAGAGTATGGACAAGTGGGAATTTATAGCCAAGGAGCAAGGTCAGGGTCAGGGGATAAAAAAATAGTAACAGGAAACATCAGGGGTAAGGAGGATTCTAACGTAACAGAACCTAACAGAATTCTTGCTGAAGACAAGCCAGACATTCCCAGAGAGGGAGATAACGACCTTTGAGGTAGGGATTCTTGCCAAATGGACTTAGCAGAGTTCTTTACTAAAACTGGATTTTATGAGAAAGTCCACAGATGGGCATAAGAGAAAGTCCAGAGCCTAACTAAATTTGGCCAAGGAAAGAATCCGTCAAGGTGAATGCAGAGTTTGAACTGGAGATTAGGGCTAAAGAAGCAAGGACTCCTGTGTGAGCCTCCCACCACTGCACACTGCACCCTGCAGTGCAAGCACCCAAATGAGCACTGAAGTCAGATGGCTGCTGAAATCTGTCCCTATCGCCTCATTCAAGAGTCTTAGAGGTTCTCTGCCCATCTTGGTTACATTGCAGCAGTGACAGCATAATTCTGAAAGCCTCCAAACAGAATCCAGTTAGCCACACAGTATCCGTGTAGCTCTAGCAATTTTCAAAGCCTCCTCTCAAACCTCCAGCAGGTCCCCACCAGTAAAGTTCTACTCCTGGTCTCACTCAGTAGAGTGGTCATGGATCATTCAACCTGCTTAGTCACCTCTCAGATTTTTGTAAGGCTACAGAGGAGAAATCAATATACTTTACAGTGTGTAGACAATGAATTTGTCCACTGAGAGATCCTGAAAATTTTGTTCAGAGATAAATAGGAAAAAAATTATTTCTATCCTGTCATGTCTGGTCAAGACTTGTCCAGATTCTTTCTGTGTGTCTAAAATGTTCTAGAGCTCAAAATTCTTCTTCTTTTTTTTTTTTTTTTTTTTTGAGATGGAGTTTTGCTCTTGTTACCCAGGCTGGAGTGCAATGGCGCAATCTCGGCTCAATGCAACCTTCGCCTCCTGGGTTCAAGCAATTCTCCTGCCTCAGCCTCCTGAGTAGCTGGGACTACAGGCGCACACCACCATGCCCAGCTAATTTTTGTATTTTTAGTAGAGACGGGGTTTCACCTTGTTGACCAGGATGGTCTCGATCTCTTGACAAAATTCTTCTAAATCTCTGCTATTTTAGGATAAGTAACTTTTAAGTAAATTTCTTTAAATTAGATGCTGCACTTATTTTAAATTGCAAGAAAAAAGTATTCAAGATCAACCAGACAGAATATTAACAAGGATATCCAGGACTTGAAAAAAAAAAAAAGTATTCAGAGTGTGGGCATTTGTTTTTTAAAAGAGAATTTGTGCGGAAAGGTAGACTATTACCTAGAAATTCAGAACACATCCAGTCAGCTCAGTGGCACAGCATATTCTCATTAACCAAACTCTGCCAGCTTTTTTTTAAATTATCATTGCTATTCTACCCTCCTTGTGTTTTAAAAGTCTTCAGAGGGAGACATATTTTTAATGATTTGCTTTTCTTTCCTAAGCTTTCCACAGATTAAACTCTGTATCCTGTTTGCTTTGCTATGTTCAAACTTTTCAAGGATTTTTACAATGAGAATCAAAAAGATTCTTACTTCATGGAAAATACCTGAGAGATGCATTTTCTAGGAAGGGTGGTGCAGACGTTTTTAATATTCTGTATTTTAGTTCCTTTAACAGGAAATGCGTTCAAGCCTGTATTTTAAATATTAAAATAACCACTCATTTAACTTTGTGACTAGCTTTCATTTTCCCAAAGTGGGAAAAAATATTATTTATATAACCTCCCTCAAAATACTTCAGAACCTCTTGTATCTTATCTCCTAACATAGTTTAACATAAACAGAAATAGCCTTAGAGTTGAAATCGTTAGAGATTCTTAAGCTTCTGGTAATTTTAATTAGTTTGCTATCATATATTACTATCATATAGATATTTTACTCAATTGCTTAAAAAGGAATGGCAAACGAAATATAAAAACCTGAATGTAAATTATTTTGCCCATAATTCATCTAAAGAAACATGATGGATCAGCCCAGTATTTGATTACATTGATATGGACAGGAGACAGGGAAATACGGGTTCCCTGGCAAAGGCCCCACCCCGAAGCCTAGAAACCCAGGGCCCTAAGTGAGAAGAGGCATTCCTGTTTTTTGCACCCAAAAAGTTCCCTTCTGGCCTGCCATGCCCCTTATATACCATATAAATCCCAAACCCCAGGCTCCGAGGGAGACAGGCAGACAAACAGCAGAATGGCATGGCAGAGAAGGAGAGAAGAGGAGCATCTGAATGTTGAGAGTTCAGCTGGGGATAATTGGAGAGGAGATTGGCTACTGGACAGCCAAACTCAGGGGAATATCATCTTCCCACGCCATTCCCCTTTCAGCTCCCCATCCATCCCACTGAGACCCACCTCCACCACTCAATAAACTCCCACACTGATCCTTCAAGTCCATGTGTGACCTGATTCTTCCTGGATGCCAGACAAGGACCTGGGTACCGAGAGGAAACTGAACTAGTTAACACTTAAGCTGCCTGCAGACAGCAAAGCTGAAAGAGGAGCACATTGTAACACATGCCTACTTGGTTTCAGGGGTTGCAGACACCCACCCCTAGCGAGTACCATGGGGTCAGAGCCCAAAGCACTCGGCCAGCTCCTGCACCTTCCCACCTGGGTGCTCCCCCTCCTTTAAGGGGTTTGAGCTCCTGGTGGCCCAGCAGAGAGCCACACCCTTGTTGCACATCCTGCAAGGCGAACCAGGGAACTCTCCCATCTCAATATGTACACAAAGTTTTTATTTCTCTGGGGCATTTCAGTAAGAGGAAGAATTGAGGCCCTCCCAGGTGCCACTTTCTACAAGTCAGTCCCTTTGTGTTTATTTTTCTCCAATACTGACAGATTAAACAGAATTATGCCTTACACTGAAACTCAAACACATTCTCATCCCATCAAAAATGCACTGAGGACTTACTATAAGTAGTCAAGGTAATTTCCATTTTCAATTATTCCTGTAGAAAAAATTACCACTTATAAGAAAGTTTACTCCTGTTTTGTATAGTAACTCAACGCACTTCCATTTCCACTTCATTTCTCCTGGATCTCCTATAAAAAGCTGTGTGACGAACAGAAGAGCCCCTGGGTATATTTGTGTTCTGTGTGCCCCTTTTACTGTGACTTGTGTGTTTTCTTTCTTAACCAAGGGACTTTGTCAAATTTAATTTATGAAGGGTTGGAGATTAACTAACAGGAAACAGAACAATAGATAACCAACAGCTTTGGACTCAAGCCTCCCCAGAAAAAGAGAAATATATTCAAGCAAGCAAGAAAACAGACAAACAAAATGGGATGGAAGGGAGAGGAAAGAGATGAAGAACAATAGAGAAACACATATGGCATTGCATTAATTAAAATTTAGAGCAGTAGAAAGAGTGCTGGGGAAAAGAAACATGGTAGAGCCCAAGGAAGAAGACCAGGCAATCAAGGAGTCAAGAGGTTGCCTTCAATTCACACAATACTTGTGAACTTTTAAACAAGTGACTGTGGGAGATTGCTGGTGACTCATGGTGGTGGAGACAATTGAGAAACAGGGTTGGCAAGAGTGCAAGGAGAGGCCCTTAATGGCAGCCCCAGTGACCTTGCTGCACCCTACATTTGACCTCAGTTGGAGTTTGGGATTGTGGAACAACACTGCTGAACTTTATACGTAGAGTAATCCACACCCCTGTTTGCTTGAGACAGTGTTGAAGTATGCATCTGATTTAACATTCTAACACTCTTAAAAAGTGTATTGATTATGGCCAGGCATGATGGCTCATGGCTGAGATCCCAGCATTTTGGACGACCTTGGTGGGAGGATCTCTCAAGCCTAGGAGTTCAAGACCAGCCTGGGCAACATAGGGCGACCTGTCTCTACAAAAATTAAAAAGTTATCTGGGCATGGTGGCACACACCTGTGGTCTCAGATATGCGGGAGCTGAGGTGGGAGGATCGCTTGCCCCTGTAGTTCAAACCTGCAGTGTACTGTGGTCATGCCACTCCATTCCAGCAAGTGAGAACCTGTCTCAAAAAATGATAAGTGTACTGATTATGGTCACCTTGTATCACCAATTCTGTAACACTTTTTTTTTCTTTTTTGAGATGGAGTCTCGCTCTGTTGCCAGGCTGGAGTGCAGTGGCATCACCTTGGCTCACTTCAACCTCCACCTCCTGGAATCAAGTGATTCTCCTGCCTCAGCCTCCCAAGTGGCTGGGACTATAGGTGCGTGCCACCAAGCCCAGCTAATTTTTGAATTTTAGTAGACACAAGCTTTCACCATGTAGGCCAGGATGGAACACTATTGTTAATCTTACTATTTTATGGATTGTGTCATGATTTTAAAACAATCACTCAATCAATAAATGTTAACTTCAAATCTGGTGTCAAGCACTGGGTTTGAAAATGGAATCTAAAGTTAAAATGATACATTCTGTGCTTTGGGGGAACTTTCAGTCTAGGGTGGAAATACACAAATGAACCTCTTGTGAGAATGTTTTACATACTGTTCAGGTTTCTGGGGTCATCTTTATTATTTATACAGTTAGATATATCCCCGTAATAGGATGTATATGGAAGAAAATTGAAGAGCAAGAGGATGGGTGGATATTTCTAAGTATAAAGCATCTCCTGGTGACTTAGTAGATTCTCAAGTGGAAGTAAAACTTAGAAAGTTAATCAAAGAGCTAGGAAATCTTGCTTCTTTTTTGACTCTAAACTTCAAGAATTAAGACAGTTCCTGACAGTGAGAACAGATGGTCTCTGCCAACTGTAGGCAGGCAATGGGGGACCAAAGGCTAAAGATGAGCAACATAAATCTCATAAGAAGAATGTTAGGAGAACACTCTTTTCAGTAAGAGCCTCCCTTCCATTGCCAACCCCAAATCCCAGCGATTTTGTTTTATTAGGGGAAATGACTAGTTTCCTTAATAACATATATATGAAAAACAACTAATATGAAAAAGACTAAAATAATGACAAGTCAACAGGGACAAGTGCCAAGATGGAGGAGAAATTCCTTTGGCCAGTGAGAAACAACTTCTCAGAAGAGGTAACACTTGATCTTAGACTTACATGTAAGCAGATTTAATCAGACTAATAGGGGAGTGGGATTGGAAGGGTGGCCAGCTGAGTGCTTAATAGGCAGAAGGACTAGTCTGTGAAAAAGCACTGAATTTTGAGACCACATTAATTAATTCATTCATAAATTAATGAATTGCGCCCAGGAGTTCAACATGTATTGAGCACCTGCTATGTGCCAAGCATATTCCAAGGTGCTGGGTTCTAGGAGGAAAGTCTGCCTTTCCAGTTGGACTGGAACATGATCCTGATGCTTCTAGATAATGAATAAGTAGCAAAGCTACAAATCACTGAACTGTATTACCTCAGTCAGATATGAAGCTGGCTCAGTGGCTAATGAAAGACCTTCCAATTCTTTATTTTTCCTGTGTCAATGAAAAAAGCCAAACTCTATAAAATATTTAAAGAGGTTTACTATGAGCCAAATATGGGTGATCAAGGTCTAACGTACAGTCTCACGAGCTCCTGAAAACATGTGCCCAAGGTGGTTGGGTTATAGCTTGATCTTATACATTTTAGGGGAACAGAAGTTACAGGCGGATATCAATCAACACATATAAGATATACATTGGTTCAGTCCAGAAAGGTGGGATAACTTGAAGGAGTGGGGCTTTTAAGTCATAGGTGGACTCAAAGACTTTCTGACTGGCAATTGGTTGAAAGAGTTGAGTTATTATCTAAAGACCTGGAATCAGTAGAAACTAATGTCTGGGTTAAGATAAGGGTTGTAGAGACCAAGGGTCTTATTACATTGATGAAGACTCTAGATAGCAGCTTCAGAGACAATAAATGGGAAATGTCTCCTATTAGACCTTAAAAGATGCTAGCCTCTTAGTTAAATCTCTCCTGGATCAGTAAGTCTTGGAAAGGGGAGGAGATTCTCTACAGAATGTCAGTTTTCCCAAGAGACAGCTTTGCAGGGCCATTTCAAAATATATCAAAGAAATTTATTTTGGGATAAAATACTTTGCTTTCTTCCAGGGCCCTGCTATCTGTGCATTCGTATCTTATTGCCATAGAGTCTGGCTTGTCAGTCTTAAGATCTGTGTCTTAATGTCAATGCTGACATTCAGTTGTGCCTGAATTCCAAAGGGACAAGAGTATAATGAGGCATGTCTGGATTCCCCCACCCATCCCCCATCCTGACCTAAACTAGTTTTTCAGGTTTATTTTGGTATTACTTTGGCTGAGAGAAGGGGTCCATTCAGTTGGTTAAGGAGCTTATAATTTTATTTTTGATTTATACCTGTTAAAATTTGCCATCAAAAATTTCACCTTACCAATCTAAATTACATGTTCTATAGACACTTGTAAAAACTGGCATTCTTTTAAAACAGTCTGTCACAGTTTAGTACTTTACTTTATATGTTATTGAGAAATAATTTTATTTTAGGTTTAGTCTTTGAAAATGTGCATACATCCTTGGTTGAAGGAAAATTCTGCTCTTCCTGCCAGTTAAGCCCACCTCTGAGCATAAAGCCTTAGATTTCACTTATCACACATAATGATCAATCTATGAAGTGTTCGTTTCTTGTAAGCAAGTGACTGTGATGTATTTGAGGTGGAATTTAGGCTCATATTAGTCTATCAGATTAAGGGGCTGGTAAATTTACAAAACTCTCAGAGAAACTAATGGGAACCTTACAGGCCTGAATATTCTCGTGGTCTTCTTCACTCTAGAATGTTGTGACTTTCTGTTGTTTCTTAATCACTAAGCACATCTCAGAAAAAGCAACACAAAGCAAAGATGGGTATCCAAGAAAAGGAGAGGGGTACTGTCAGGCTGTGAAAGGCCATTAGAACAGAAGTCAAATGGACCCAAGTTCTAGACCTGACTCTTGCCCTTCAGAACTGTGCACATGCCTTCATCAAGTTGACAGAGGCATAAGAACAAGAACAACTCCATCTTGAATAGGAGCCAGGCAAAATGAGGCTGAAATCTACTAGGCTGTGTTATAAGTAAAATTTCGATGCCACAAAAGAAATAGCACTCCAGGATAAGTCCTCTTAGCAAGGCAGTTTACTTCTACAGAAGGGTGCAGTGTATGGATGGAGCAATGGTGGCCGCATGCTTGGACAAGCGGGGAATGGGTACTTATGACTGATGGCAGCCATCCCTACTGCTGTGTCACTTCCCTATTGGCTAGGGTTAGACCACACAAGCTAGACTAACCCTGACTGGCTATTTTAAAGAGAGCAGGGGTCTGAGCTGGAGTGGCAGGATGGGTGTTTTGGGGGAAAGGACGGAGTTACGGGTGGGTTAGAGCAGGCAGCCAGGGGTGACCTAGGTCAAAGAAAGTGACCAGAGCAGGTGACTGGAGCAGGTGACTGGGATGAGTTAGGATGGAGCCGGGGTTGGATGAACAGATGTGAACTACTGATTAAAACCGGTGGAGAAGGTTGTTTGCGGTAATTACAAGGAAGTTAAACTTTAAAATAGAGAATTAAAGAATAAGAGAACTGAATATACTGACATACTGATTCTTTGAAGTGAAACTTGGGGTTCACTATAATGGATGCATTCCCAGACAGGTAAGGCATTCTAAGACACAGGATGAGATAGGAGGTTGGCACAAGATACAGGTCATAAAGACCTTGCTGATACAAGTTGCAGTAAAGAAGCTGGCTAACTCCTACCCAAACCAAGATGGCCACAAGAGTGATCTCTGATCGTCCTTACTGCTACACTCCCACCAGAGCCATGACAGTTTATAAATGCCATGGCAACATCAGGAAGTTACCCTATGTGGTCTAAAAAGAGGAGGCATGAATAATCCACCCGTTGTTTAGCATATCATCAAGAAATAACCACAAAAATGGGCAATCAGCGTCCCTCAGGGCTGCTCTCTCTTTGCAGTAGCCATTCTTTTATTCCTTTACTTTCTTAATAAACTTGCTTTCACTTTGCACTGCGGACTCAATTCTTTCTTGTGCGAGATCCAAAAACTTTCTCTTGGGCTCTGGATTGGGACTCTTTCCCGTAACATTTTTCTCTGTTCTCTGTCCTATAACAAAGATCTCTTCAATAAAATGGTGGATAATACTTATTCTGTTTACAGCATTGAGTTATAAGTTTTAAATGTAATATTGTACATTAAAGTTTCATATAAAGCTAGGACATTGGTCTTATTTAAAACCACTTTTTTTTTTTGAGACAGAGTCTTGCTGTGTCACCCAGGCTGGAGTGCAATGGGGCAATCTCGGCTCACCGTAACCTCCACCTCCTGGGTCCAAGCAATTCTCTTGCCTCAGCCTCCCGAGTAGCTGGGACTACAGGGGCATGCCACAATGCCCAGCTAATTTTTGTATTTTTAGTAGAGATAGAGTTGGCCAGGCTGGTCTCAAACTCCTGAACTAAGGTGATCCATCCCCCTCAGCCTCCAAAACTGCTGGGATTATGGGCATGAGCCACCATGTGCCAGGCCAAAACCACCATTCTTGTTTCATATTTCCTTTTAGTTTCCATGTTTGACTAAAACAAACTATTCTAATGCTAACACTGCTAATATTTAGTTAACTGCTTCCTTTGTTTATCGCTCACTAATGGAGGATTGCCCTAATTCATCCTGCCTAAAGCTAATCCGTTCAGTCCCTGTCACCAGATGACATTATTCACAGCACATCAATTTCAGCCCTGTCTTCCTCATTAAAATCTCTAACAGCTTCCCATTTTCAAAGGCAGTGGCCTTCAAAGTAGGAATACAAGACATCTCATTGTAATTCAGAAAGAAAATTCTAGATCATATATTTGTATTCATTTTTAAATTAAAAAATTAGAAAATCTTGATTTATTTTCCATGATATAAGACACACCATGGGGTTAGTACAATCTCCTAATACTCTGCCAACATAACTGCCTCTGCCTTTATTTGCCTCAGGACCATAAGGACCATGTCCACAGGGAAGAGGGCTCTTCATGTCTTTATTTAAAAGCAGGAAAAGTAGGGTCATCATGGAAGACTTTCCAAGAGAAATATTGAGATGCACTTGCGATAACACTGATTACTCCAAGGGCAGTCTGCCCCCAATTTCTGGAAAAAGGCCCAAGTACCTGAGAAAAGGGTATTTTAAAACATTTCTTCTTTACCCACAAAATTTTCACTAGCTCTCCATTATCTCAAGGATAAAATTCAAATCACTTAGCATTCAAAATGTCCCTTAAACTAGCCAAAGTTACCATTCCCATCCTATTTCCAGACACTGCCACAACTATTCCTCCTAAAACAATCTCTGTCTTCATCATCAAAGGTATCCCCAAAGGAACCCCATTTTACCTCCTCGGGCATCCATTTCCTCTTGGTTTTTACCATTTCTCCTTTTTATTTTAGGCCTACCTTAAGCCCTACATCTGTGAAGTCTACTCTAACCATCTCATCTACTCTGGATACTTTTTCCTTTGAACTTTTCTATAATGTATCTGTATTTTACTACCTAATAAAAAGTTTTGCAGTCAGTATGACTGTACAACTTATCATCCAAACTGGGAAATTTCTGAGAGTAACATGAAGCAGTTTTAATAATTTTGCCTGGACAACAGGTGTAAACTGGACTGCTCTGGGTGAACAGGTTAGGTGTTCCTGATTGCAATCCTTACTACCCTCCCAAGGAAATTCTAAAGTCAGAAACATGTATCTTAATCTCTTTGAGTAGCTGGTGCTTTATCTATAATAAAAGTTTAGTAAATATTAATGGATGGTTTAATTGGTGCGTGGAAATATTCAGAACCACCAGATTTGGTAATATTTATATCATCATTAACATTTATTTACCCATGCAAGAAATCAAGATTGAAAAAAACAGTAATAATAAAGCCTCTAATAAAGAAAGAACAAAACATTGAACCAAAGCATAGAAATAGCACTCAGACGGCCGTTGGATTCTCAAATCTTACTCCAAAGTTAGTGAAAGGATAAAAGTTGTGAAAAGCTGATCAGTGGAAACTTGAGTTTATTTTCTTTGATTATATTTTATGTGGGGCTCTCTTGAACTGGCTGAATTTCCAGGAGACTATAGGGTGGCTACACTGAACCTCATGTCAGTCCAGCAGAAACAAACACATGATGCAGGGGTTCTGCCCCCACTTTCCCCCGCCCCCCTCCCCATTAGTCAGTTTTACCTGGAGTGTACCATCTAAGCATGTTTTTTACTACTGTTTTTCAGGAGACATTTCCCACATTCTAAACAAAGGAAGTTTGGCCTTTTCTCCATGACGTTCCTTTATTGTTATTTTAGGCTGAATCACAGTGCAATGCCTTACTGTGCACCAGTGCTTCCCTTATGGCCCCACACTCCTTGTTGGGTATTGGCAGTGCTTCCAGTGGGTACCACTAGTCCTGGTGTCTCTTACCAAGCACTGCCATTTCCCACAGGGCACAGCTCCAAGACGCCAAGGTTGTTCTGATGTAAAGTGCAAACAGAAACTTCTCCTGCTTCCTTTTTTAGATCACGTTCTATTAGTAAAAAAACTCTTTCAGATGTTTTAAATATTTTTCTTTTTTTCCTGTAAAGCACCCAACTTCATCCCCTCTGATCTCTGTTATGTGTTCATTGCAGATCTGGGCCAAGATAAAAAACAGGGAAAAAAGACATGTACTCTAATTACAAAAATACCTCCATTCTATCACTGAAGTACTTACATCAGAGTCAAGATCTTTCAAGAGGATCAAATAGTTCTGACCAGGTAGAATTGTCAGATAAGATACAAATATTTCAGTAGACATACTACAAAAGTATTTGTTGTTTATCTGAAATTCAAATTTACCTGCGCGTCCTGGATTTATATATTTACTAATTCTGACAAACCTACTCCTAGACTTCTTAGTCTCTGACAGAGATTTTTTTTGCTCAGTGTCTCACAAAAATTATTTTTGGGGGGAGGATCCAAGATGGCCGAATAGGAGCAGCTCTGGAGTGCAGTTCCGAGCGAGAACAGCACAGAGGGTGAGTGCTCACTGCATTTCCAAACAAGTTTTCATTGCCCACAGACCAGGAGATTCCCAGGCCGAAGAGCACCATCGGTTTTCAGCGCAGTTTCAGCCGGTGCCTGGTCGGTGCACAGAAACTCACACAAGTCTGGGCAGCTGTTTCAACTGGCGCCTGAAATGCCTGGGAGACAGAGCTGGCCATTCAACTGAAAGGGAGAGAGCTGAGATAGGGAGCCAGGTGATCTGGCTCAGCGGGTACCACCCCCACAAAACAAGCAATCTGAAATGCTCTGGATTGAGAATTTCACAGCAAGCCAGCAGGACCCAGTATGGTTCAGCTCATTGGGAGGAATGGTGTCCCCCCCACTACTGAGGCAGTTCACAGAGCAGCTAGGCAGAGCCTGCAGCAGCTCAGCAACACCTCTGCTGGAAGACTGTTACTAGACTACTCTGTATGGGGAAGGGTATCTATGAAAAAAGGCAGCAGCACAACAGGAACTTATAAATAAAGCAGACCTTCCTAGGACAGAGCACCTGGTAAAAGGGGTGGTTATGAGTTCAGCTGCAGCAGACTTAAAGGTACCTGCCCAGCAGCTCTGCATGGAACAATGGAGTTCCCAGCACAGCACTTGAGTTCCTATGAGGGACAGACTGTCTCCTCAAGCAACTCCCTGACACCTGTATCCACAAAGAGACACCCGCATAAAGGAGAGCTCAGGCTGATATCTGGCTGGTACCCTTCTGGGATAAGGATAGCAGAGGAAGAAACTGGTGGCAATCCTTGCTATTCTGCAGCCCCCATGGGCGATCCCAAGGTGAGTGGGGTCTGGAGTGGACTTCCAGCAGTCCCACAGCAGAGGGACCTGACTCTTAGAAGGAAAACTAAGAAGCAGAAAGAAATAGCTTCAATATCAACAAAAAGGAAGTCCACTCAGAGACCCCATCTGAAAGTCACCAACTACAAAGACCACAGGTAGATAAAGCTGCTAAGATAGGAAGAAACCATCACAAAAAGGATGAAAACACCAAAAACCAGAACACCTCTCATCCTTCAAGGGATCACAACTCCTCACCAGCTAGGGATCAAAAACAGTTGAAGAATGAATCTGATGAATTGACAGAAACAGGCTTCAGAAGGTGGGTAATAACAAACTTCTCAGAGCTAAAAGAACATGGGCTAACCCAATGCAAAGAAACTAAGAACTTTGAAAAAAGGTTAGATGAGATGCTAACTAGAATAAACAGCTTAGAGAAGAATATAAATGACTTGATGGAGCTGAAAAACACAGCATGAGAACTTTGTGAAGCATACACAAGTTTAAATAGATGAATTGACCAAGCAGAAGAAAGGATATCAGAGATTGAAGATCAACTCAATGAAATAAAATGAGAAGGCATGATTAGAGAAAAAAGAAGAAAAAGAAATGAACAAAGCCTCCAAGAAATATGGGATTATGTGAAAAGACTTAATCTATGTTTGATAAGTGTACCTGAATGTGATGGAGAGAATGAATCCAAGTTGGAAAATACTCTTCAGGATATTATCCAGGAGAACTTCCCCAACCTATCAAGGTATGCCACCATTTACGTCCAGGAAATACAGAGAACACTGCAAAGATATTCCTCAAGAAGAGCAAACCCAAGGTACATAATTGTCAGATTCACCAGGGTTAAAATGAAAGAAAAAATGCTAAGGGCAGCCAGAAAGAAAGGTCAGGTTACCCACAAAGGGAAGCCCATCAGACTCACATTGGATCTCTCCACAGAAACGCTATAAGCCAGAAGAGAGTGGGGGCCAATATTCAACATCCTTAAAGAAAAGAACTTTCAACCTAGAATTTCCTATCCAGCCAAACTAAGCTTCATAAGTGAAGGAGAAATAAACTCCTTTATGGACAAGCAATTGATGAGAGATTTGATCACCACCAGGCCTGCCTTACAAGAGCTCCTGAAAAAAGCACTAAATATAGAAACGAACAACCAGAACCAGCCACTCCAAAAAGGTACCAAATGGTATAGACCATAGACCCAATGAAGAATATATGTCAACTAACAGACAAAACATCCAGCTAGCATCAAAATGGCAGTATCAAATTCACACATAACAATATTAACCTTAAATGTGAATG